TAACAAAATACACTATTTTCACACTATTGAAAATTCTAATCAATACTCATAATCAAACTCTTTCTAAAATTCAATTAAAAAAAATTATTATTAACAGAAAATAAAATTAATCAATTTTTTAATTGTAAATACTACCAAGGAAATAATTTTTTTTCAAAATAAATATTCAAAAAATTTAAATCATAAATATTTAAAAAATTTAAAAATTTTAATAAGTAAAAAATTAAAATAAATATTCAAAAAATTTAAATCGTAAAAATTTAAATAATTTAAATATTCAAAAAATTTAAATAATTTAAAATGTTAATATTTTAAATTTAAAAACAACTCTACGCTCAAATCGTAACCAAACATATAAAATAAAACTCAATTAATAAATTATTTTTAAAACTCATAACAAAACACATAACTTGAAACTCCATACTACTTTCAGAAGTCTACACTGAAATCATAACCAATACATAACAAAAAAATTAAAATATTTAAAACTTTTTTTTTTTGGATGAGCCGTATTTTTGTCATTCTTTTTTTAAAAATTCTCCCTACACACTAATTTATACAATTTTTTAATACACATTTTTTCATAAAAAGTCAAAAAGTTAACCTAAACAATCATTTTTTCTTCAACTTTTTAGTCTAAAAAACAAAAAATACACTTATTTAAAACACCCCAAACAACCTCTTAAATATAGAATTGAGCTAACAAGTCAACTATTGAATGCTGGCCATAAAGTCCGTTGCGTCACAGGTAACCACTAAATAATTAATATCGGGAAATTACAAATATATCTCCTTACTTAAATTATAAATTACTCTTATAGTTTTAGGAATTACATTATACCTTTTAAAGTTTTTAATTTCATAAAAAATAGGTTATTTTATTAATACATCATCAAGTTAATCAATAGTTTTTAATAATATTAAAATTTTATTTCTGTGGGGACATATTTTCTGAGTGCCAACATGTGGCCAAGGTGGCGTCGAAGTGTCAGCCGAGGTGCCACGTGTCCTGATCATGACGCCGAGGTGATCTCGGCTAGGCCGAGGTTATGTCTGAAGATATCGGAGTCCGGGATAAGCGGATAAAAGACAAGGGTTCTGGATTGAATCAGACTTCAGTTTGGGTAAGGATAAGACTCTTAGAGAGTTTATCCCAATCCTACTAGGAGTCCAAGATTAGCAATAATCCTAAGTCCAATGGAGTTAGGCTTCTATTGGAACTAGGTTTGTGTTGGCTATAAAAGAGAGGCACCCTCATGAGTTTAAGGTACGCAATTTATATTCTGAATAGTGAGTTAAGCATTTTTGCTATCTTTGAGAGATAACTGACTTGATCGTCGGAGTGCCCCTGGATGGACGAACTACCGTCAGAATCTCTTCTTTCTGTTCCAGGTCGTTTGGGCTTAATCTATTCTACCAGTGCTCTTCAGCTAAATACTAATTTGGCAATGTGGTCGGAAATTGACACGCACAATTTCAATTAATAATTCAGATAATTTTATTATTGTACAGGTGAACAGTTAAAAATTTCACTTTTTCAATTAATTCTGTTAAATAAAAATTCTGACGGAGAGGTATTTGTAATTTTTCAAACCACATAAAATAATTCATAAAATATTTTAATTTACCAATTAATATCCATACTTCATTTGAAGTTATTTTTTAGGAGTTAGATTGTCCCACATCCACTAATGTGGAGTGAATAGTCGAGTTGGGCTTGAAGGGCTCATGTTTTGACAATTTAATTAGTTTATTTTGTAAATTTTATGCTTAAATTATTATTTTTTAAAAAAATTAAATTTATTCGATATTGTAAAACTAAATTTTAACTGTGATTTTGTACGGATCAATTTTTTTCTTTTTTCTTTTGTGGATGATCAACATAATAATCTTCCCAAAAAAAAAAAAAAAAACAACAAATTGGATCATCAGAGTAAGACAAATCTAGACTAGAGACAATATTTATTTATTTATTTTTACACAACCAAGTTAAAAGTATACATCATGGTGAAGAAAACTTAGAACATAAAAACATGAGGGGATTCGAAAAAATGATCAAGCCTCATAGTATCACAAATCCAAGATTTCCCGTTTCAAAAAATCACATGCGTCATGTTCCCTGTTTCATATATGAAAAATGTTAGACCTTTAGATATATGTAAAGAGTATTGTTAGAAATTTTAAAAGTTTTACCAAAATTTCTACTCATGTGTGGCATTTAATAAAAATTTTGATAAAATTGTTAAAATTTCTAACATTACTTTTACATATATCTAAACCGCAAGATTGAATTTTTTCCAAATTAAAAGTGATATCGTGTGGTGGTGATAGATAAAACACAAGGGCTTTTTGGAGATAGAAATCTCAACCCGTAGGCATCTTGTTTGGGATATTCGCTGGAGCAATGCTAGGGATCTTACAAAAATGATCAAAAATTTTACACAATACCGTGGGACCAATATCATATGAGACTTACATCCATATAAATAGTGTAAAATTTTCAATATTTTTTTTTTAGTAGTATTTAACATTGATGTATTTATTATAATAGTATTACTACCAAGCTACAAGGTTTAACCGCCATAATATTTCAGGAAATTCTATTTTCACACACCTACGTATCTCAGTACATATCATTTCTTAGTACACACATTTATGAATTTAATTAGGTATTATTTATCTAATTCCACACACCACATATTCCGATTATAACTTTTAACAAGATAACCACAATCTAATCTTCTCTTCTCTTTGTGCCAACAACCATCTCCACCTTAACCAATACTATTGACAGAAACCCATTTGAATCACCAAGTCTTAGCTACTCTGCTTCTGTCGAATTGCACCATTTGAGCCATGTATTGCAACAATGCATTGATTCCAAAGACTTCTAGACTGGTTTATCTATCCATACCTTACTCCTAAAGCTTGATTTGGATAGGTTTATCTCTTTATGGAACAAGCTTCTAAATCTATATTATAAATGCAATCAGTTTTTTATTACTCGTCGAGTGTTTGATAAAATGTCTAAAAGAGATGTTGTTTCATTCAATATGATGATTTCGAATTGTGGTCGTCATAATTATTGTCTTGAAGCTGTATCTTTGTATCAAAATTGTTTTTGAATAAGAATAATAATTTCGACAGTTAATTTCTGACAAAAATAAAAAATTTCGGCAATGTTTTGCCGAATAGGTCTTTCCTGGAAAGCAAAGCTTGCCAGAAAATCAAACTGGTGGGTTTGCGGCAATGGCAGCAAAGGCGATGATGATGAGTAAGAAGAGACCATTTGATTGTTGTTATCGTCTTCCTCTATGTTGTTCTCTATTGGAATCATAATCGAAACAAATTTGACTTGATTCTAAACAAGGAGGAAGAAAACAAAATGGTTTGTGATAGAAGAGAGAGAGAGAGAGAGAGAGGAGAGATGAGATGTGTTGGCTAGAGATTTGATGTCCATTATAGTCATTTTATTTTAGGATATAATTATTATTAAAATAAAATTTCATTAACTATGTGTACTAAACTAAAGAGGTGTGTAAAATTAGAATTTTCCTAATTTTTCTCCTCTATCTCTATCTTCTTATGTAAGAGCATCTCCAATGGTAGTAGGCATTTTACCTATCTAAATATTACTATAAAATATACATTTTATTTTGCATGTCAACTGTTTCATGTTTCTACTCCAACCATGCTCTTTATTTTAGCTATTCATCTAAATACTATTAATTTTATAGAATGCCACGTCAACAACAAAGATGGAGGGAAATAATCCTAATGATTAAATACATTTTGCCTAACCTTGAAGGCTAGCTACATGTAGCTAGTGAATGTGAGCTGAGCCAAAATGCCTAATCATATGCCTAGTGCATTAGAGTTGAAAAAAATGAGTCACATTAGGCATTTAACAAATATTATATGCCTAGTGGATTGGAGATGCTCTAAGTCATCATAGTTTACCATTTTCAGAACCATAGAAGTGGAATCATTTGTGCTTGGTTTTGTTATGACCTCCAAACCTCAGTGTTTACATCTTAGTCCCATCTCATGGCAAAAACGAGGGGGAAATTTGATCATGTGACAATTACAACACTGACTGCTCTCCCACACAACAACCAAGTAACCAATTGTATGCTGTGTCACAATGAAGCTTGAACCATCATTATATATATACGGATAGAGTAGTGTTACATCCCTTAATTTTGTCCCCAGATTCCACCTAATCTACCCCCATGTGAAGTGGTCTCACATTACTCTTCCTCTCAAAACAGATTTGAGGAATGAATCATTATTCCATATGGATATGCCCAACTCTCAACAGATTTCATCACGTTGCACTTAACCTAGTCTTTCACATGCACTCTAATTTCCATGTTGTGTTCAATGCTTCCCAAAACAGAAAACAGACGGTGCAAAGTTGGCAAACCATCAAGAATCGTAATAGCCCACCCAACTCTGTTTCATATTAAGATCTCGTTTGGAAACAGGCTAATTTAGTAACTTTTTGACTCTGTTTCATATTAAGATCTCGTTTGGAAACAGGCTAATTTAGTAACTTTTTAACTATTTGGCTAAAAAAGTAAGTAAAAAAAATTTGTATATTTGAGATGACTTTTTGACTAATTATGAAAAGATGTGCAAAAAATAGACAAAAAAAAAAATCTTTGACTTTTTGGTATGAGTTGTTAACTTTTTGACTAATTTAGTAACTTTTTGACTAATTAGCTAAAATAGCCTCTTGCCAAACGAGGCCTAAATTGAACTACAACCTACAATGGAATCGTTTTTTTATCAAGGTTGTCAAGATACCATAGGTAGAATATCCTTGAGACTCTGTTTGATTCATAAATTTAGAGAGAGATTTGAAAAAAAAAAAGAAAAATGTGTGTAAAACTAAATGAAATATAAATATATTTTTTTCACATTTCACCGTCCTTTTCTTTTTTTCTTTCCAAATCTCTCTTCAAATCCTTGGACCAAACACAGTCAAACTCCAGCTGTCTTCTAATGCTTGCTTACTTTCACATTCAATTTGGACTTGAATATTTATACCATCATAATTTCTGAATATATAATGATAGAAAAACAATACTGAATTATTAGCAAATCTGAAAATGCATTCATGAAACTTCCCAGAACACTATGTATTATAATGCAGTCCTACCAAATAGAGGACTCAATCCTTGCGATACCTTGCCCAAAACCCCTTCCGGGCAGAGTTGTTCTCTGACATCGATCTACTCCACTTAGATCCAAGCGAAAAGTGCCGCCTCAGGAAAGGTTTTGCAAAGGATCTCCTTGCACTGGAACTGGGTTCCATCTTGTGAAAATTTTCATCTCCTTCACTAGTTTTTCGGCGATCAAGAACATCAAATTCAGCATCATCATGATAATTATCCAAGACTCTGTTCCTAGATATCTTACCGCTTCTTGATTTCAGTTCTGCTTCTGCTCTCATGACTTTTCTGGCCATCTTCGACAGTTTCTTTTCACCAACTGTACAAAATGGGCAAGAAGGGTCATAGCGATCGGCCTCCTGTGTCATAGCCTCCAAACATTCAGCGTGATAAGCGTGCCCACAGACAAGCACAGCAACGACTGACAGTTCATTGGTAGCAATAATTTTCTGGCTGCTCCATGAACATCTCTCTGTCAAGAGCTTAGAGCAAACCCCACAAGTTTGGAGATCGATGGAGGGAGAATATGAGAGGGCACCGCTAGATTCACTTAACTTGCCACGGCCAGAGCCCAAAAACTCGCTGTCGAAAGACCACCTCTCTCTTTGAGAAGAGGCCACGAGCTCGGAGAAGGTCCGCATGGACCACCCATCAGAAGAAGCACCTTGGGATCCAAGCATCAAATCGTTACTGCAATTAGAGGGCACAAACGATGGTCCGCCCTCAGATACCAAGTTACTGTTTGGGGATTTCAAACCCACAATTCGACTATCTGAAACTTGCCTCAAAAGCTGGTGTCCTGGTGACTGGTGGGCCCTTCTTGATTGTGTTGAGTTTGATGGAAGTGAGTGAGCTTGGGAAGATAAATGATTTGCAGCAGAAGTCGATAAAGAAGAGCTTGAAGGCACAGAAAGTGAAATCTTTGGTGCAGATGAATCTATAATTTCTGGTGATTCTGTGGAGCTCTGTACCTGTAACATAAAATGACATGAATTGAGGGGAAGAACAAAACTCAAGCATCTTAAAACAAATCACACAGCCTTTCACTAGATTCACTTCCAATCACATAAAATCTCACCTTTGTATTATCATTGCCAGCCAGAGTTATCTCTGCAACAAGCATGTAAACCATATCAGTCGGCATAAAAAATGGAAGCATAAAAATTTCAGCTAGAGCAGTGTTACATTTTGTAAGTGATGATTCTATTACAATGAACCAAAGAAACATACAGGGCCATGCCTCGCTGCATCTAGACTCTCTACATTATTAGTCTACTGTAGGTTTCTTATTCAATTAAGTTTAATGAATGTGATAATCTTCACTAAACACATGAAATCCTGGAGGCAAAAGTAGGAAGGAGGAAGGCTACCCATCACTGGTGAAGCCAGGAAATTAATCGAGGGGGAAATTATTAATGCCAACTCCGAAGCAAAAGAGAATTGCATTAAAGTTGATATTGAAGAAGATCCTAACTCTACATGGTTCTCTACTTGTTCCAAGAATGAAGAACCTTGATTGCTCCACCCCACATTTCTTTTCCCGTTAAGAAACTCTGCACGATATAATCCCAATAAGGGTACTTGGAAACCATTCAGTGTAATTGCTAGGAGGGAATCAACAGCCATTGTGCAGAAAAAAGCCTTATAAGCTAAGAAGAACAGACAGAGACATGGACAAGGTTACAGGTTATGGTGATTTTAAAAATATTAGGATAGGTGAAGATACGGCAACAAAATATATATATATATATATACCTATGGAGCATGATTATGGGTATTGGTGCAGTATGGGTACATTGACAAGGTGAATTTTTTAAAAAATAAGGTACAAGTATGTTTGTAAAAAATATTTATTTTTAATTTAGTGTGATACAAAAAATAATTAAATTAGTTGGTTAAGATCCGATCTCGAATTCACATTTAATGCCATAAGTAAGGTTTAAAACCCAAGTATAATTTTAAAATCATGCTAAGCATGAAAAAACATGTCCAATGAAACTAACTTCACTTTTGTATAGAAGAAAAATACTATTTCGGCACATATAAAGTACCAAGTATGGCGTGTTTGTTAAAGTACACCTATGCTTCATAGACAAATATAAATTAGGACATAGGTACAAAAGACATCAATGTATATGTGGGTTTATATCTATTTTATTTTATTTTTCCAATTTTTCCGTTCTTTGATTCCATATATTTTATTTCAACCCAAAATCAGCTTTCTAAAATTACTATAAGCTTCCACACCCCCCCCCCCCCCCCCACCCAAAACAAAAATGTCTTAAGGCGTGTCCAAACACAAGACATGCATGTCCGTGAAATGTCCCCAAGGTATCCTGTGAAAAAATAATAATTTGAAAAATTTGATATGCCATGTGACATATCCAACACGTGGACATGTGTGCCCAGCATGACAGTGTCCAATACATGTGGGTCACGGACAAGTACATGGATAGGGACACGGACACGGCACCCATTTTAAAGTGTACTGCTTCCTAGCTTACAGGAATAAAAACAGGGGAAACAAACATAGATGAAAACTCTCAGCAAAGTGACTAGGCAATTTCACAAACAGGTTATACGCAACAAAAATAAGCACCCACAGAGCCAACCACCATACAAAAGCCACAGTATAGTATATAAAGATTAGAATTTTGAACCTAAATGAGAAAGCACACTTTCTGAAGATGAAAAATCAACATAACAAACTATAGGAGGCAAGCAGCAAATCCTGACAATGATGAAGTGGGGGCAAATTACAACAAAATTTTTTCTGGCCTGGACACCTGGTTATTAAAAAAAAATTATAACAAACTTTTAACATTATATGTGAAACAATAATTATTAACACTTGAAGACTTGATGGTTACTGCGTGTGTCGCGTACTGTGGTCTAATTTCAGAATCACAAGTGTGCTACACATCTTTGTTGTACAAGTATGTTGAATAACTTGCATGTGATATCAAATCGGCTGTTTTTTGTACATCTAGTGCTATTCATTCTTGTTGAACAAGCTGGTCAAACCCTTGGAAGACTCAGGAAGATAGCATGGACTGGCTGCTAGCTGGTAGGAAATGTCTATGCTTAGTGGTTTTTCTTTTTATTTTAATTTTTTGTTACTGATTCTTCAAGTTTGAAGATTATGCTATGTGTTTGATTACACTTTGGGATTGTTTTATGCCTCATTAATGCTTTTGGCTTGGGGTTCTAGTATTAGCTAGTTCATCCTAGTTGATGGGGTAACCTCATTTAGGTTTTCTTTAGGTTTATAGACCGTTCTTGCTTGGGTGAACCCCAAGTTGCCAAAAACCTGCTTTAGGTAGATTGGCAAAAGAACATCTCAGTGAGGAAGAGGGAACTTGTCATCCAGGAGAAAATTATTCAGAGGTTGATAATTGAAAACCAGAGGAAGTTTTCGTCTCTTATTTGTTCAGTCCTTTTACTAACATAAAAGGCTTCACATGCCCATGGAGAAGCGGTGGTTTCCACTAGACCTTCTCGTTGAAGCTGACTTGTAAAGCCAACCGGTAATGGTCAGGATTCATTCCATTATAGCTGTAGTACGTACGGTATGCTGTTTGATGGTTAGCCTTAGGGCTCCAACTTTGTTTGTAGCATTTGGAGTATGCCCCTAGTAAATTTGAGTGTTTTCTTTTCCTTTAAAAATAAAAATAAAAAATAAATAAAATGAATGAATGACAGAGAAGCACCAGATCATAAAAGACAACAAGAATTTATCAGAGTTCTGTGACTAACCTCTTATGTCTACCATTATATTCAGAAAAAAACTATTATACATGGATCCAGAACTAACAAAAATCAGTAAGAAAAATATATAGACTATCTAACCAGCAGAAGCCACATGAGTCAGAAAACTAAAAGTATGTTCATGTCTCATGTCTACCCATAAGAAAATAATATGAAACTTTAGAAAGCAATATCAAATGTTATTTAGCAGGTTCACAGATCTTGGTAAGGACACAAGCCCAATACTCCCAACAAAAACATCAAAATCTAGCCAGCAGACCAATAAGGTCTACAAAACAGCTTCAAGTGATAAGGTCTAATATCCAGCTTAAAAAAAAAAAAAAAAAAAAAAAAAAAAAGTGAATAATTCTAGTGTCCAATCCAATCATATACCATGCCCAGATTTCATATTTTCAGGGACAAAGCATGTGTGGTAAACAAACTGCATAAACATTAAATATGATGTTAACAAGAAGCAGATGAAGCATAAGAAAAACATGCAGGAGAATCATAAAGTTCCCAATGCATATTTGGCAATTATTTTAAATGTCAAACACTCCCTAATATAAGACAAACTGAATGTGTAAGCAAAAATCAGGGTAGCCATGCCTTTTTGGGTGTAGATCCATATGACTAATAATTACAATTAATATACTCAATGAGTGGTGTGTATGTTAATTTAGTGATGCTAATCTAAGGTCGTCTTTTCCTTTACCCGACATTCCAAACTAAAGACAAACATACAAACATTCCTAGTAAATTGTTTATCATAGTGTTCCTACATTTACTAGTTAGTGATTAGTGATTCATTTGTGAATTCCGAAGTTATATTATGTGAACATTTTTTTGCAAAAAATTAAGCTTAATGCTTTTCAAGGATATATTTTGATTATACATGACTGGTTGGACCTTTGATGGCACAATCTTCATCACACACGAGTACACACAGATGTGTATATAGGTATAGTAATGGGATGGGGAACCCCTTCTCAACTGCACTCTGCCTAGGATAATAAATTCCCCTGATCCCATCCCTGCCCTGCCCTGCCCCACCCCACCCCACCCCACCCCACCTAAAAAAGGTAAAAAAACCCTTCCCAAGCCAACCCCGACCTTACCACACCACACCTTATCACAACCACACCTCCAACTCCAACTCCACCTCCACCCAGAAATAGGATTGCATGTTACCAAACAATTTTAAAGCAACACAATCAAATAAAAGATTAGATCTCATGTTCTAGAAGGAGAAGAAAAATAATTGTAGATCCAACTTGCATGTGATATCAAATACAGAGATTGTGACCATCTGATAAAGAAACAAAATAGAAAAGAAAAATTAATCTGAATTCTCACGGTTTAAGGAATGGCGACTTCATCTTCTCCTACCCATTTCTCAATCTAAACATGTATAAACATATATAACATGTACCTCCATCTGTGTCTGCGCGTGTGTGATAGAGAGAGAGGGAGAAATTGTACCTTTGATGATAGAAAGGGTTGCCTCTTGAGTGATCTCTGGCATTTCGGCGGTGGGGTATTGAGACAACAACGGATGAGGTGCAGTAGGAGCAATGGTTGTAAAGAAAAAAGTATCTTTTGCCTCGAATAGTGAAAACCCTAGAGTCTAATAAATGCAATGAGAAAGGGTACTCATGGAAAATCGCTACATATCAGGGGTACTTGAGTAATTTAATTATAATTGGGGGGGTTTAGGCTGGGTATATTATTCCCTCGAGTCTGCCACCAAAGAGAATCCAATCAGGTTTCTAACTATTACCCCCCAAACCTACCCCTACCCAGTTTAACTCTAACTCTCTCCCAACCCATCTAAATGGGGTAGTAGCTATCAAGCACGGATACTTAAAAAATAGAGACTTATTTGTATCGGATACTTATCGGATATCGATACTCCTTGAATACTCGCGGATACGTATTGGATACTTCTTAAAAGTATCAGATACTTCTTAATTACTTTTAGAGTATTGGATACTTAATTTTGAAGTATCAAATACTCATAATCACATATTACTTCTAATACTTTGTTTAGTTCTTCGATAAGAGAAATATAGTGAGAGTTAAAAGTAATAGAATTATCAAATTGACGTATCCTTATTGTCTCTCTCACTCACTCTCTCTCTCTCTCTCACTCTCTCGCATTTCTTCTCTCTGCTCTCGTTCTTTTTTTTTAGGTGTTGGCATGTAAGAATGATATTTAATTTGCATTTACATTTGCATTTGCTTTTAGTTTTAGATGTTTTATAAATGTTTGAAGACTCTTAGCTTAATAGGAATCCCTCTCTTTATTTATTAATTTGCTATAGGTTTTACTTTCATGCATATTATATTATTAAAATTATAAAAAAAATTTGTTTTTACCCATATCCATATCCTAATTTTTTAGATTTTGGTGTGTCGCCATATCTGTATCGCCGTATTCTGTATCCGTATCCGTACTTCCTAGGGTAGGGGGTTAAGTCAATAACTCCGAATTCAGGGTTATTTTTTGTCATCCCTATTCATAAATCATATGAATAATTATTATGCTCTCTCTCTCTGTCTGTGAGTTTAACATCCATAGGTCTCTTAATTCCTGACATATTTGTAAAATTCAACCACCTCCATCTTTATGACACATACAAAAATAGTACTAGATATACCATCACACATTCCACATACAATTAGAATCCAAATGTAAATTCATGCCAATTCATGCAGAGTTACACAAACAAAATTCACAAACAAATCAAAACATGGGAAAATGCCATTATTAACAAGCGTTACTTTGATAGAGAGGTGATTTGGTATAGTCTGCACAACGCATATGACATTACACCAACTTTTGGTTTGTTCCATCTTTATGTTTATATTTATACTACAGATACTGTCAACAATGAGAACCACCCTCTCACTTATTATTACATTCAGTTAGAAAGGAGCTTCAGTCCCAATATATTCATGTATTGAGCCTACAAAACAAACTACTTACAATGGAATCCATTTCTTCACTTGCTCAAACAAAACAAAACAAGAAATAATAATTTAAAAATTACTATTAATAGTTTTTGATGATCTTACCAAGCAATACCCTAGAGCTGATAATATAATAGTAATTTTTAAAAAAAAAGGATGCACTTTAAAGCTTTACCTGAAGAAGTTATCGTAGTTGCAACCAGTCCTTCATGCACAGGAGACTTTTGAGAAGTAGGAGTTCCAAAATTTCCTAAAGGGCTTCCCCGGCCTGAAAGATTACCTCTATCAAAAATTAATTCCCCTTTGATCTCCATGCTACTGTTTGTGCTGATTCCATGAGATGGTGCATAGGAAATGTTCTCAATTTCGCCTGCCACACGCCTCCGGTTATCCCATCGGAAACTCCACGATGGTGAATATATCGCATTTCTATGCAAAATTTCACCACTAGTTCCATTCGTCAGGGTTCTATCCTTTCTAGCAACACAACAAACTGACCCCATGCTCACGTGTATAGACAATAAAGGCCAATACAAAAGCTTCCAGGAAGGGTACTGTCCATAAAACCCAAGGACAAACCTCTAAGTAGACAGTGCCATCCTACTTTTTCCTGAAAAGTTTCCGAGAAAACATAAATGAAGCAAGTACATATGTTCATCATCTAAGTAGGCATTTCCAGTTCTAAAGAAACTGAGCAACTATACAATTAAAGCGTACCTCAAGCCAAATCTCTAAGTTAGGAATTTCAACACTAATTCCTGCAAAAAAAGGGAAAAATTGCTAATATATTCAGGCATTTGATCACAGTCAAGAAAATTCACAATTAAGACCTAATTTAAGCCAACACTCAAAGTAGATACTTGACGAAGTAGATTCTTCTATAAGAAGATTAACCAGACAAGGTTGAGTTGAGAACAAAACAACAAATTATTGATTACATTCAACCATTCCAAACTAAAGCAATTACACTCACTAGAAGAGATTGTGCACTATTCTGTTTATATCACTTATTGTATTTTTACCAATGAAGCATGGGTACGAATATAGACACGGATACAGAGAAGATACAAAAAGTACGGATGTATGGTATGAAAAATTCTAAAAAAGTAGAGCACGGGTACTTAAAGTTTCAACAATCAATTTGTGTATATATATATAACATGTATGCATGTTTATAAAAAAAAATTGTAATAACATATTTGAAACAATCCATTCGTCTTTAATTACACATCAAATATTTTCAATTTCAAATTTACAACACACAAAAAAATATTATTATTATTATTATTTTTTTTACTTCATTCAAGGGTAAAACCCCTAGAGATTATATCACGCGGACCCAAATTTATTCCAAATTTGATGTACTTTAATCTCAGACTTTCCCAATGTTACTTCTCTAAGGAATATGTAAAGTATTGAGAAACTATTCTTGCATTTATTCTAATAATTATATTATGATGCTACAACAAGAAATGCCACATCCTAATTTTAAGATCAGTCTAATACTTTAAATATTAAAAAAGTATCCAATACTTATTCAAACTTACAGATTTAAACTCTAATTGTTTGTATATTTAGAAAGTATTGGATACGTATCCAAGTGGTATCAATGTCCGATATGGATACAAATCCCTTTTATGTTCTTCAGATAAACCTCCCTTGCATTTATTCCAATAATTATATTCTCTTTGTTAGCTTTTTCATTATTTTTCTATTTTCAAGATAACTTCCCCATGTTGCCAAGCTAAGAAGCATGGACACCGGGCATGATGATGGGACATGATGATTTTAAAAAACTAGAATACGAAAAATGCAAGGATGTGATAAGGTAATTTATATCCACAACAACGATAATTAATAAGAAAAATAACACCAACTTAACATGAAAAATTCACTCAATCTAGAATTTAAACATTTCAACATACAAAATACTATTTTATTAATCATAAACCATTACATCACAAATATCAAAAACATTCAAGTTTTTTTTTTTTTTGATAAATATCAAAAACATTCAAGTTTAATAATGAATAGATTATCCATAATAAATAAATAAATAAATAAATAAATAAATCTCCACTATTTTGTTTAAAAAGTAATAATATGGTGTTTAACATTTACCAAAAGTATGCACTAAGAATTTCATATAATCAAAGTAACACTAGCAAGATGAGAGGGGCAACTAATTTTTTCAATGAGAGACACTCACTGCCTCTATCAAATAAATTTTAGGGAACAAATTAAAGACATAGTAGATCAAACATATTAGTGAAAGCTCTTTCAACCTAATATAGTAGATTACAGCATTCAAACATTCAAACATATAGGAATCCTATTCATATGGGAAAACATAGGTAATAAGAAAAGAATAAAAAAAAATCCTATTAAAGACATAACAGTACAATCCGAAAGAGAGATAGAGAGAGAAAAAAAAAATTAGTGATGATCATTAGCAATATCAAGTTAAACACACCCGGAAAACAAAGAAGGAAAACCACTTCATCCTGAGTGAGTAATGTGATATTGCTCATCATTACAAGTACCAAAATAACTTATCAACATGTAAAGATGAGCAAAGAAAAGGAAAAGAAGTTCTATGGAAAGTCAAAATCCAAATTTGAGACTGAATCTATGGTAAAGAGATTAGAACAACTGATTATTTAAAACCCAATTAATCATAATTTCAAAAATTGTACATTAGAACGAAAAGGAAGACCTTTATATTTCCCAACAATTTGAATCCTTTGATTTTAAATTTATCAATCCACAGTTGCCTAATTACCATTTCTGAAAGAAATAAATACAAGATAATAGTAATAAACTTCCACAGCACTATTATCCCCAACTTGTACCAAATCTAGGTGTATCAATCAAAATATTTAGAGAAACAATACAGAAAGTCAAGTTCTTTCCAAGTCTTAGCACATAAACAAGGATATGTCAATCAATTGCTAGAAAATATATGCATTCAAATTTGCCCAAAAGTAAAATTTACATAAGAAAGAAAAAACAAAAAATCACTCAGAATGAAGTTTCAACACAAATTTTGATGAGTGGGTTTAATGCGTGTGCAGAGAAAGAGATCAATTACTTGAAAGCATAGAACGAAGGAGGTTGAACAAACATTAATCGTCTCCTCGGAACACTAATTCCCAAAATTTGAACTCCAAAAATAGCAGGAACCAAAATCTATACAAGTTGGGAGTTCAAACTCAGACTAAATCAACAGACTCCTGCGAATAATTAAACAAAAAACAATCCTCCGTAATCGTGAAGAAAAAATCTAGGGTTTTCCATAAGCATTTATCAAAGAGAACCACAAAAACATGAATTCAACTCACTGTTTTAGGGTTTCAGACTTGAAGAGAGAGGAAAGAAAGGTCTTCGTCTTTGTAATCCGCGTAGCGAAGAGAGAGAGAGAGAGAATCGAAAGCAGTTTAGATAGTAAAAGATAGAGAGGAAAGAGTTGGGTGTGGGTGGGTCTGATCGATTCCCGGCAGAAAGTGGAGGCGTCAGTTATGACGGAGAGCGCACTACGCGTTGTTTTTTTTGTTTTTTTTAACACAAATACATATTGAAGTTATTAAGGTCTCGTTCGTAAATTATGGTGGATTTAGGTTTCCTTGTGAACAAGTTAATTTAGTAATTTTTTTGATTATTTAGTTAAAATATAAATTAAAAAAATTAATATATTTGAGATAATTTTTTGATTTTTTACAAAAAGATACGTAAAAAGTAGAGAAAAAAGAGAATCTTTGATTTTTTGGTATGAGTTGTTAGCTTTTTAGCTAATTTAGTAACTTTTTGACTTTTTTGCTAAAAAGAAGGGTTTCCAAACGAGGCCTTAGTTTGTGTTTAAAGTAAAAAAAATTTTAAAAAAAAATTAGGAAGGGAGTTTAGAATTTTTCTTTTTAAATTTGTTTAGTTGAATATTTTGAAAATAATTTTAAAATTTGAGAGTTTGAGAAAATTTCATATTGTATTGTAATTTAATAGATGTGTGTAAGAAAAAAAATGATTGAGAATGAGAGAGGAGAAAGAAAAAAAAAAGTAATTGATTGATATGTAGGAAGGATAAAGTGATTTTGAAGAAAAAATTCAAAAAATTTGAACCAAACAAAATTTTAAAATTTTTTCTCAAAAATTATATCTTGAGTAGGAGTGTAAAAATGGTCTGCGGCCCAAGGTGGGCCCAACCTGTTTGGGCCCGGGCTGGAGCCTAGCCCAATACCCTAGGTTAGGACCTGGGCCATTATTTTGATGCCCGGCCGGCATGAGGTCCAATATCTTTTTTAATAAAAAAATAATAAAATTTTAATGAAAAAAAATAAAAAAACTTGTTCAGGCCGCCCAAGCCCGAGCCCAAGTCCAAATCCACTGGTCCACCCAAGGCCTGAATACCTTTGAGCCTGGCCCTAATTTTCTAACTCGTGGGCCGGGCCGGCCTGGCCTGAATTTAGGCAAGAACCCGCAAGGCTTGACATGGGCCGACTCGGGCCGGGCCAAATTTACACCCATAATCTTGAGATAAAAACCAAACAAGCCCTATTATTTTATTCAAAAAGTTACTACAAGTTGTCATATTATTTTGTCTATTTTTCTATATATCTTTATGTAAAAAGTAAAAATATTACTAAAATAACCTATTTTCAAATGAGACGTAAAATTGAGTTAGAAAAAAAAAAGCCTATCCACGTTCACAGACTGAGTTTGAGAAGTTGCTAATAGTGTGTTTGGGATTTACTTGTTTATTGATTTTTTAATTTTTCATAAAATTATGTGTAAAATTTTTAAAAAAAATGATATGATGACTTATAGTAAATAAATTGTTTATTTAGGGTGTCTCAAAACTACTCCGAAATAGTAATTTATTTGCTTATTTGTTATAAGTTATCATATCATCTATTTATTTTTTATACTGTTTTTCGTAAAAAGTCAATATGCAAACCCTACCAAATTGTTTCTTTACGTTTGAAAAATTGCATTTCATTTTTTATATTGTCTAATCATATAACAAATAACTCATTTCGTTAATCAAACGTTTCAATCAGTCTAACAAAGTGTATGACATAAATAACTTTAAAAAAAAAAAATACTCATATTAACATTTATGAAGTTAAACACTTTTTTTTTTCCCCTGTATCTCACCTTTCTTATTTATTTATTTATTTTCTCAACTAGTAGCATTACTATATCCAACTATCATATTATCCTCCTCCACTATTGATCATCACTGCCGTCATTATTATCTACAACCATTTAGTATGTCATCTGAAAATGATGAAGAATATTATAGTCATGTAGAGAGAGAGAGATTTGGTGGTAGATGAATGAAAATAAAAGTAGTATGATAATTTTACTTTGGTATGACAGAATATCTGGATAATTTTGTTTTTCTCTATTAATTTTTGGACAATGATATATTTGAAATATTCAGAGAATAAGAGAAAAATCTGTATTATTAACAAATTTTAAAGGTGTATTTGTGATTTACCTTTATTTATTTATTTATTATATTTGATTTGCCTTTTATTTGTTTGTTTGTTTGTTGAAAACCAAGTGATAAAAAGCTTGTCGACGGTGGGCCTGTTGATTGGGCTCATGGGCCCGCTTATGATGCTGAATATTTGAGAGTTTGTTTCATATGTAATGTGGGCCATGTTATTCCATCTGCTACATGATGATGGCTGAGATATGAGATATTTTTAAGGGCTTAGAGTTAGTTTGGGCTTCAGCTGCAAAACCCAATTATAATATCAGTGTTGAAATTGGAGTTATGCTAAAAAGCATTGTTTAGTTTTGAGTTTTCAAAAATAATTTTTAAAATTTTTATTTTTCAATTTTTTTATTTTTGGTAAAAAAAATTCAATAAATATAAGTAATAAAAAAACAAAAATTTATTGAATTTTTGTATTTAATTAAAATTTTAAATATATTTGATAAATTTTTTATACATTAAGTGTATCTAAATTAAGTGAATTTAAAAAATTAAAAAAAGTAATTATTTTTTTTATACTAAAAAAATAAATAAGGACTGAAAACTTGAGAACTATTTTAATTGCAAAACCAAACAGATAGTTGTCAACCGGCCCATTCTTTTGTCTGGCCTTGTGTTTTGTTTTGGCCCCAAACAAAACACAAACTCAATTGTCTAATAATAAACCTCATTTCTATTGCGAGTATAAATATACAACGAAAATGAATGTGAAATACAAAATGTAAAGTGTAAAAGATTAATATTTTAAATGAAAAATCCACATTGAGATTTCGCCTAAGATAATGTTTCATAATCTGATTCGACACTAAAACTGAATGTGTTAAGTGAAAATCAATTAAACTTGTTTGATAAACATAAATGGTACAACTTATAAATTTAAGTGACTCTTAATATGAAAGTTAAAAATTAAAATAAAACAACTTATTATAGGAAACTTATTTAATTCTAACTAAATTTATTAATACTTATGCATACCTATCAACATGCACCATTATAACTTCAAAACCTTGGCCACTGTACGAGTACGAAATAATCTTCTCGTATAATCCTGTTGATTAAGTTTGCGCTTCTCTAAACGTCGTCGCTTTACTCCCTGAAAACACAAACGTGAGCTAGTCGGCAGGTGTGTGTCGGATACCTCTCCGATACCTAAATTAGCAAATAGACAATATATAAAAGCTTTGTGTATTCAAGAGTCAAAATTATGATACCTGTGCATAGATCCTGCTTTGAGCTTTTATAGATTCCGTGTGACACAATCCTAGTAGGACTCTTTTTCTCCAATGTAGAGTCCTCCTAGGAATCAAAAAGGTAATGTTTATCTTTCTACATCCTCCTTACTGCCTATCCAAGTGAGATGGTTTTATTGCTGTAATATGATAAAACAACCGGGCTAACACATGCTGAAGCGGCAGGTTTCACCGAGCTTTCCTTAGCTCGGTTTCACCTTGCTTTTACAACATGGCTCCCTATGCCTCGGTACAGAATACTCAAGCCGAACTAACCTCAGTCATTCATGACCGGGCTAACAAGGTCCAGTGGCGAAGCCCATTTACCTCGGTCCACAATTTGGCTCACTTATACCCGGTCCAGCTCGGCCCAAGCTTCACACATTTTACCTTGTCAATTGCCCCTTAATTCCATCTGCAGCGCATGATTTGGGATTATTCTTCTCTAGCAGAGCTAAAACGTTCCAACTGACCGGATTGAAGCAAATGACACGATTGGGCTCATTTGCTACCGAGCTATCGGTTCGCCCGGCTCAAAAACGTCTCGTCAAGTACTCTGTACGTCGTTCGACTTCTCAAGTACATATGAATCGTTATCTATTCCCTTTGGACACGTGGCTTGCTCTCACTGGTCTAGTACAACTGTCACTGCCGCCTTCGTACTCCAAGATTTTGAACAGGCCCGCCCATTTTAGTGCATTATAGCAAAACCCTATTTTTTTACTCAACCACTCCACTATTCATCTTCTCTCACTTGCCTTCTGAATCTTCATATTCACGACCATAGCGTCCGCAAAGCTCGTGCTCTAGCATGGCATCTTCACCGTTTTGATCTTCATCATTTTATCTTTAAAACTGTAAGTGACTTAAAACCCTCACTTTTTCTGTTTATTTCGCGAGTATGTATAATATAGACATGTATATATACATATATTTTCCAAAACACATTTTTGTAGTTTTGCACAAATGGGTAAGGACCACGAAAACTCAAAAACGACATCCCCAGACCATAATCACTTTAGCTGAATCCTCAATGAATATGGAATGTGATCCTTTTGATCGAAAATAGCACCATGACCGAACTAGGAGCCAGTTTGTGATAGGTGCATACTCGACCGAACTAGAAAACCTTACCTGATAACCGAGCTAAAAAGCTCGTGCTTTGACCGAGCTAAGATCCTCAATGCTCAATAACCAGGCTAAAAACTCACGCAATGACTGAGCTAAGGGTCACAACCCACTTAGCCGATCTAAAGTTTATATTTATTTATCCTTCTTTTTTAGCCCAGTTCAGTTATCTAGGCATAACACTTTTTATTTCCACTTTGCAGACTTGACTAGGTTGGCCAGGCACGCCCTTGCACCCTGTCCCTAGGCATCTTTGCTTAGTCGAGCCAACCAAAGCCTCAGACGCGCCGAGCTAGGCTTAATTTATTCTCAACTTAAGTTGAATGGGTAAATACCGGTTCCTAGTGGACTCACCTAGGGCGATAGCCGACTTCCGAAAGGACTATCACATTCCTGACGATGTACATCTCTCATTAGTCGAACTAGATACCACGCCCTGGGAAAAGCCGGGCTTTGTTTCTTTTACCATAATATCCATTGTAGAAGCTAGTCTTCGATTTCCCGTTCAGCCTTTCCTTTTGTGAATGCCTTAGGCAGACAAGACTCTGCCCCACCCAACTTTCCATAAACTCATAGAGAATAATAAACGGCATCGCCGAACTAAACCGCCGGCTTGGTCTCAACCTCGGTTTGGCCGAGCTATTCCATTAATACTCACTTGGCCAAAATGAGGACGGCTGGGTATATTATTTA